GTGCTTCGGGACGCGATTTTATCGTCGGCGCTTTCCTGCGGCCGGTTGCGTCGCCCCCGGTCACACTCCGACCACTTCCGCTCGCGGACTTCTCTCTCTTTCTCTCCCCTCTCCATCTAATCTCTACGTACACCAACGTCATTATTATTCTCTTCTACTATATCCACCAATGTATATATGTATGTATGTATGGATGTATGGATGTATATACGTACGTTTTGATTTCTCTGGAGCCTCCATTCGAGTTACTTACTCGTGATTCTTCTGCTTAGATAGGTAAATATATACTGTGTGTATATATATACACACACACGCACATATATGTATAAATATATTTATATGTATATATATATTACATCGTGTAATATGAAATGTCGAATTTTTCTATATTTTTATTTATTTATTTATTTATTTATTATTATTATTTTTTTGTTGATAAAGTATTTCTTTTTTTTCTCCCTTTTGTTCTCTCTCTTTTTTTTTTCATTTTATTTTTAATATTTAGGAAATGTTTTATTCGTCTTATCATCTTTGATTCTATCAAAGTTTTTTGCCTACGTTATTCTAACAAAAAAGAAAAAAAAAAAAAAAAAAAAAAAAGAAAAAGAAAAAAAAAAGAAAGAAAGAAGAAAAAGAATTCTATCCTCTATCGGAAAAATTCCATTCTAATAGATAATTGTATGACATTAGTCAAAAATTTTCCATTGAGTTTTCCTCGTTAAGCACATTATTCTTTCGAAAGAAATATTTTCTCGATTATGATCGAGTTTATATATACAAAAACTCGACATCGTTACATTTATATTTTGCAAAGGAAAAAAAAATAAATAAATAAACGAAAGAAACCAATAATGATTAACAAAAGTTTGTATGAACTTTGTAAAGGCAATGCAATAAAAAAAGAAAAAAAAAAAAAAGAAAAAGAAAACATAAAACTTTTAAATGTAGGTTTGAGTCATTTGGTGATAAAGTTGTGAATATTATTAAAAATTCGACATTTACATACACATACACTATATATCCCGATAATACTACTATCTTTTCTTCTGTATATTAAACATATCAATAATATAATACATACAAATAATTTAATATATATACATACATATATATACATATATATATATATATCACGGTCATGCAACTATTATCTCTTCTGCATTATATCATCGATCCATTAAATATATTAATAACGCAAATAAATTAATTAAAGTATCAGAATTAAAGTCCCCTACGACGAGATAAGAAAGAAATAAAAAAAGAAGTAACAGAAGAAGTAGGAATAAAAGTAGAAGGAGGAGTAAAAGGAGGAGAGGGAGAGGGAGTAAAAGTAAGTCAGGTATACATCTGAGTTTTCACGATCATCCTTATATCTTATCATCTATCTAATCATAGTAGAGACAATCCTAGTAAAGGCGTAACACGATGCTCGCGGACGACGAGTAAAAGTCCTCGGGATCTCTCTTCTTGTCCACGTGCATTAAATTCGACACGGAAACTGGTTACACCGTGTGGGATTGGATAAACGTCACAGGGTCGTTCGTGTTCGTTTAAAAGGAACGATCGTAAAAACGTAACTTTGTTACGCGTCACCGCAATGGCGGGTTCGCGCGCGCACCTCATATATGTAAACGACAATTCCGCGACATTATTATTATTATCTCTCGTTCATCGTCGCACGCTCGTCGTTATTGAGGAAGCACGATTATGCAATTTCGTCGCCGTTTCTCTCTCGTGTCTCTATGCCCCTCTCCCACCTCCTCCTCTCTCCCCTTCCCGTCCCTCCCCTGTCTCTTGCGTCTCTCTATCCTCGTATTCTAGACACTTTTAACCCATCTACCTCACCTACCTACCTACCTACCTAAACTACCTAACTACCTGCTTGTTTACGTTCGTTTTTATCTGGTTTTGTTAAAACTCTGTCTTTTAGTTTCTGTTCTTTTTCTTTTTTTTTTTCTTTTTTTTTTGTTTATATATATATATATATAGGACATGGTCGGTTTTCTGTTTTATCTTCTTATTCTATTTATTGTTTATATTTTTTCTTTTTGTTTTTCTTCTCTCGAAGTAATAACTCCGAAAAAAAAAAGAAATTAATCCGAAGAGATAATTGAATGGACCATCTTTATCGTCGTCCCTTTCCCATGGAATACATCTTCTCGATGGATCTTTGCGATCTTTAAAGTAAACTTTAATTGATCATCTTTCAATTTCCGAGATTTTCAATCGAACGTCAGATGATATATATTTCGAGACAAAGCGGAGATCGTTTAGATTCTTTGTGCGATATCATAATACAGAGAAAGAGAGAAGAGCTCTGATCTAAAATGCTTTTATCTCTTTTATATCATCGCGATTAAAATTAACTGCTTGACAGACCGTGAGAATTTCCACTGACATAACAGTTCGACATAGTAATTGCTCGTTGTTAGTTAACCGAGTCTTCTTTTCACGTGCCTACGATCTCTGTCTCTTTCTCTCTCTCTTTCATTTTTGTTCTATTTTTTTCCTATTTCTTTTTTTCTTTTTTTCTTTTTTTCTTTTTTTCCTATTTCCGTTTTATAAATCACAACTTTCTACTTAAGAACATAGTAACGTAACGTTTATAAAACGTTTTACGACGATGGGGGTGGACTGTTTCGAATTTAATTTGTTAAAGGAATACGGCCGTCAATGGCGTATCACATATGCTCGAGGAAATTCTAGGCCAAGTTCATGGTACCTCCTCATGATGAACAAGTTGAAACCATATCGCGTCCCTTTTTCTTTTTCTTTTTCTTTTTTTCATGACACGAATTGAAATTTATCTCTTCTTATCCATCCCCTTCTCTTTCCATCTTCTTTTTTTAAAATTTTCTATTCCTCTTTCACTTTTCTTTCTTTCTTTCATTTCTTCACCCTTTCCCTTTTCCCTATCCATCGTTCTCTCTTTATTTGTTTGACTTCATTTTCTTTTATCGCATCTTTCATTATTTTCTTTCAAAATTTTTACACTACCTTTTCTCCTTTCCCTTTTCTTTTGTTTTCCTTTTCTTCACCTATACCTCCTTTCTTCCTTTACCTTCGTCAGGACCTTGTGACGTTGCTTACGTCATAGGTAATATATTCATTGGATAATTTAAAGTATCCTATATCGCGTGCGCGCACTAGATTCGCCCGTTGACTCAGCTAGTTTTGCCGCAAGCCGGTCGATAAATGCAGAATTTGCGGCGTTTCGATTCCCAGGGAATTTCTATTGGGTTTAACTCTTAGTTGAAAGCTTTCTGCTTTCTGTATGGTGTATATATATATATATACATATATATGCACGTCTCTCTATCACTCTCTCTTTATCTATCCAACCTATGTATTATTATTACTATTATATATACATTTCTCTCTCTCTCGTGGCTTTACATACAAGGTAGGTTTTCCCTTGCGATTTGTACGAGACGATATGGCAAACTGTAACAAACACATCCCTTGACTACCCCCCATCCACCACCCCCTATCTCCTCGTCTCTCTCCTCTTCTACTGTCCACGGCAATATTACCTCCCCCGTTCTGCAACTACTTCTTCTCCCTCTTTTCTTTTCTCTTATATCGCGAATAATAATCGAGAAAGGCTTTTAATTAAAGACGAGAGTCGTTCGCGAATTCTAGGATGGCAATGTATATTTTCCTCTCCCTTTCTTCTACATCCCCATCTTCCACCTTATCCCTATTTTCTCTAGTCGTTCGTTGCCCCTCTTTCTCGATCCAACCGGCTAAAATTAAAAAAAAAAAATGAACAGAAAAAAAAGGAACAGGAAAGAAACAAAAAAGAAAAAAAAAGGAACCGATGCTCTTTCACTCTTATACATTTCTTTATTTATTTATTTATTTATTTTTTTTTATTTATTTTCTATTTCTATTCTCTGTTTTCTTTTTCTTTTTCTCTCTCTTTCTTTTTTTTTGTTTTTGTTTTCATCAAGTTTATCATTTTTGTATGTGTCTAAAAAAAGAAAAAGGAAAAGAATAGAAAAGAGTTTTTGAAAATTTTGCTTTGCTGTTTTTGAAATAACCTTTTGAAATATCATTACGTCGTCGTGTCGTAACGATTAATGACAAGGAGTGAGTGGGGGTGGGGTAGATGGATGATGATAGGAGGTAGGAATGGATGTTCCCATTCCAAGGGAAAAAGTAGAAGGGTAGAGATGCATGGGGAAGGGAAATAAAAGAGTAAGAAAGGAAAACGGGGTTACCATGAGAAAAGGGAGGACTTTGTTGAACGAAGGTGACGATTATGGAACATTGTTGGGCCCATTCATACCCAACACGACACGGAGGTCTATCCATTGAGTTGGCCAACCGGAAATGGTCGTTATCCAAACACGATGAATTTCAACGAGGTCGACGTAGAAGCAGAAAATTGCGTTCTCTACCGAGGTCGCACTTGAAAATTAGGCAGTACTTTTTTTTCTCTCTTTTTTTTTTATTTTTTTGTTTTTTTTTTTTTTTTTTTTTTTTTGTTCTATTCATAACGTTGCACGTTACGCACGTTTTTCTCTTTTCATCGGAGAATACGAACGTGTGTATGCGCGCGTATGCGTATGTGTTAATTATCTCTTCGAACAGATAAACAAAAAAAAAACCAACAAAAAAAACACAGGATACACGATCGTCGTTCAAGATCGTCGTTTTTTCAGGATCATCGAAAGGATCATTAAAAATCATTCGTCATATTTTATGTTTTATATATACATATATACATATAAAATAATTTTGTTTCAATATTATTTTATATTTTTATAAATACAACATATACATACATACATACATACATGAACACGTACACATATACAAGGACACATGCAGAATGGTCACACGTAATTTCTGTTCTTTTTTTTTTTCTTTCTTTCTTTTTTTCTTTCTTTCTTTTTTTTTCTTTAACTTCTTTTCTTTTTCCTCTTGAATTTTTTTTTGTTTTGTTTCCACACGTATTACATCTCACGATTTTGTTGTCACTCATTTTTTTACAGCATGGCCGCTCAGATTCATACAGGGTCGCCACATTACCCAACATTCGCGATGACAACAAAACGGCTGATGGAATGTACAAGGTATTCAGGAAGGACTTCCGTTTCACGTAATCTTTATTTGTGCATCCGGTCTATTGAGATATATATATATATATATATAAATATATATCATATATATGTTCGCTTCTTCGATTAAAAAAAAAAAAAAAAAGAAAAGAATAAGTAAATAAATAAATAAAAACAACAAAGAGAACTCTAACCGGAAAATATGGCAACTTGGTTACTTACATCTTGTACTTCTTCTTCTTCTTCTTCTTCTTCTTCATCATCTTCATCTTCTTCTTCTTCTTCTTCTATTTCTGCATTTACTTCTACTTCTTCTTCTTCTTCTTCTTCTTCTTCTTCTTCTATTTTTCATCCTTTCTATCTTCTTGCTAATCTCAATATAAATGCTTCGGCTATCTAGGACTTAACAATTTTCGAAGTATTCTCTTCTTCTATTCTCTTTCGTAAATTCTTTAATTAATTAATTAATTTATTTATTTATTTATTTATTTATTTATTTTATATATATATATATTTTTTTTTGGTCGAAAAAACGATCCTCGATACTTATCTCTCTGATCTCTTCTTTGGGTTATTGGTGTGGACATCTCATCTTTACTATTCTTCGTCTATCCTTACTAAGAGTTTATTGTTGTTATAAAACGTTCTAAAAAAAAAATAAATAAAAATAAAAATAAAAAAAAAGTCAGATGAGGGAGGAACGAAATTAATTAATTTTACTTGAGAACTCTTGACACTCTAACACTCTAACCATTAATAATATATACATATCGTCGCACGTGTATGTATTTACATACTTTTATTCATATTATAATAAAAATAATCATCGTCGTATGATCTAACTTTTACAGAATCTTTCTAATGTCTATATCTTTATAGGAAATCTTATGGTGGGAAAAGCATTTGAACGGATATGATCCGTTACTTCGCTCCAGTTATTTTCTTGTAAACGTTTAAACGGGATTAAAAACGTCGTTGGCTCTTTTATTACTGTAAACGCGATTAGAAAATTTCTTTCCTGTGAGACAAATGAAAAATTTTATATCTACGTACGATATTCCCCCCCACCCTATTCTTCCATTTTCAAAAAAAGTGCATTGATGACGATAATAATCATTGACGATGACACGATAATAATCGTTGATTTTTTTTTCTGTCCCTTTCTTTTTTTTTCTTTCTTTTTTTTCATCATCAAATAGTCGCGGCGAAAGAACCCAAAGCGGAAGGGAGAAAATTTGGACGATTTGAAGCAAGAGTTGGATATCGACTTCCACAAAATCACACCCGAAGAACTTTATCAAAGATTTCAGACGCATCCTGAAAACGTGAGTACAAAATCATGAAAAAATTTATTATTATTATTATTGTTATTATTATCATTATTACAACACATTTATTTGTATAAAAAATGGATCAAACGTGCTATACATATGTGTGTATATATATATATATATATATATAAAGGAAAGAAAAATTTGTTTTTCCATTACAGGGCCTCAGTCACGCGAAAGCAAAGGAGAACCTTGAAAGGGACGGACCGAATGCTTTAACGCCACCAAAGCAAACACCAGAATGGTTAAAATTCTGCAAGAATCTATTCGGTGGTTTTGCCCTATTACTATGGATCGGTGCGATCCTTTGTTTCATCGCATACTCAATTCAGGCATCGACGAGCGAGGACCCGAACGACGACAATCTTTACCTCGGGATCGTTTTAGCGGCGGTCGTCATAGTTACCGGTATATTCTCGTATTATCAGGAAAGCAAGTCTAGCAAGATAATGGAATCGTTTAAGAACATGGTACCGCAATTCGCGACGGTGATAAGAGAAGGCGAAAAGTTAACACTTAGAGCGGAAGATTTGGTATTGGGCGACGTTGTAGAGGTCAAATTTGGTGATCGTATACCAGCGGATATTAGGATTATCGAGTCACGAGGATTTAAGGTGGACAACAGCTCGCTCACTGGCGAATCGGAGCCCCAATCAAGGTCACCGGAGTTCACGCACGAAAATCCATTGGAAACGAAAAATTTAGCATTCTTCTCGACCAATGCAGTAGAGGGTACGGCAAAGGGCGTTGTTATCTGTTGCGGTGATCAAACGGTCATGGGTAGGATCGCTGGATTGGCATCTGGTCTTGATACCGGTGAAACCCCGATCGCTAAAGAAATCCATCACTTTATTCATCTTATCACAGGCGTGGCCGTATTCCTTGGATTAACGTTCTTTTTAATAGCCTTCATTCTTGGTTATCATTGGTTGGACGCCGTTATCTTCCTTATTGGTATTATCGTCGCTAACGTGCCGGAAGGATTATTGGCTACCGTAACTGTTTGTCTTACGTTAACTGCTAAAAGGATGGCCTCGAAGAATTGTCTCGTTAAGAATCTCGAAGCTGTAGAAACTCTTGGCTCTACGTCTACCATCTGTTCCGACAAAACCGGTACCCTAACCCAAAACAGAATGACCGTCGCTCACATGTGGTTCGACAATCAGATTATCGAGGCCGACACCACCGAAAATCAATCTGGATTGCAATACGATCGCACCAGTCCTGGATTCAAGGCATTGTCGAAAATCGCTACACTTTGCAATCGTGCCGAATTTAAGCCGGGCCAAGAGAACGTACCGATTTTACAAAGGGAGGTCAATGGCGATGCTTCCGAGGCTGCCCTTCTCAAATGTATGGAACTTGCACATGGCGATGTTATGGGTATGAGGAAGAAGAACAAGAAGGTCTGCGAGATACCGTTCAATTCTACAAACAAGTATCAAGTATCGATCCACGAATCCGACGATCCTAACGATCCGCGACATCTGTTGGTTATGAAGGGTGCACCAGAAAGGATTTTAGACAGATGCTCGACCATATTCATCGGCGGTAAGGAAAAGGTATTGGACGAGGAAATGAAGGAGGCATTTAACAACGCATATCTAGAACTCGGTGGGCTCGGTGAACGTGTACTTGGTTTCTGCGATTTCGTACTGCCGTCCGACAAGTTCCCTATCGGCTTCAAATTCAATTCCGACGACCCGAACTTTGCGGTAGATGGACTACGCTTCGTCGGCCTTATGTCTATGATTGACCCGCCCAGGGCTGCGGTGCCTGATGCGGTTGCCAAGTGCCGATCCGCTGGTATCAAGGTCATTATGGTCACGGGTGACCATCCGATCACTGCCAAAGCCATTGCCAAATCCGTCGGCATCATATCCGAAGGTATGCGATTTAGTATTCCTTAATACAGGACAATAGTCCTTTTTCTCTCTCTTTCTCTGTTATTTCTGTACTTGTCATTTTTGACGATGGCCTTTATAAAATATCTCTTTCTTATATATTATTTAGGTAACGAAACCGTCGAGGACATTGCACAGCGGCTGAACATTCCCGTATCCGAGGTAAATCCTCGCGAAGCTAAGGCCGCAGTTATCCATGGAACCGCACTCAGGGAACTGAATTCCGACCAACTGGACGAGATTCTCAGGTATCACACCGAAATTGTGTTCGCCCGTACCTCACCACAACAGAAACTCATTATCGTCGAGGGTTGTCAACGAATGGGCGCCATCGTAGCCGTAACCGGTAAGCTGCTCACAATATATAAAATTCATTTTTTCGAACGAAATTGTCATCACTTTTTTTTTTTTGTTTATATATATATATTTGATTAATCATCATCCGTCAATATTTAGGCGATGGCGTGAACGATTCTCCCGCTTTGAAGAAGGCCGATATCGGTGTAGCTATGGGTATTGCTGGTTCGGATGTCTCCAAGCAAGCAGCCGACATGATCCTACTCGATGACAACTTTGCCTCCATTGTTACGGGCGTGGAGGAGGGTCGTTTGATCTTCGACAACTTAAAGAAATCTATTGCTTATACCCTGACCTCGAACATACCCGAGATCTCTCCCTTCCTGGCGTTCATTCTCTGCGACATACCATTACCACTTGGTACCGTCACTATTCTCTGCATCGATCTGGGAACCGACATGGTGAGTGGAAACCATTCCAATTTTACATTCTCCTTCGTTCTTTTCTATAAATTTAGAAAAAAACGAAAGAGGGTATTACTCCATGAACTCTGTTTTTTTTATCTTTTTTTTTCTTGTCTAATAAATTTGTCTCGTTTACATATATATATCTCTTTCTCTCTTTTTTTTTGTCTTTCTCTATCTATCTATTCTTTTTTTTTTCTTTTCGATCGTTGAAGGAGGGGGCAGGAGAGGTGGAGGAGACGGGGATTGCAAGCCACGCTAAAAATTTGTTCCTTCGAGTGTCTTACGTCTCCTTCTCTCTCACTCTCTTTCTCTCTTTCTTTCTCTCTCTCTCTCTCTCTCTCTCTCTCTCTCTCTCTCTCTCTCTCTCTCTTTCTCTCTCTTTCTTTCTCCTTCGATTCCCGATCGATATTATTGTTTCATGTCCTTCTTTGTAAAATGATAGAGCAGAAAAATTTAATAGAGCCGGAATAACGCAACGGGAAGAATTGCGAACGTTCAACAGGGGAAAAACGAGGAGAAAAAAAAATAAAGGAAAAGAAAAAAAGTAAATCCAAGAGAAAACGACAACGTGCCGATAACGAAGTTATATTTATGATGATATTTATTTAAAGCTCAATCTGATGATTGTCAGGTACCAGCGATATCTCTGGCTTACGAGCAGGTGGAGTCCGACATAATGAAGCGACAGCCACGTGATCCGAACCATGACAACCTCGTTAATGAAAGGTCCGGATGAGGTTTTAGAATTATATTTAGAAACGATTATTGCTTTTTAATTATTTATAAATTTTTACTTGGATTTCTCGTAAAGTAAATCCTGGGTCCCTCGCTCTATCTCCTCCCCATTGCCACCCCTTTTTTCTCTCTCTGTCTCTATCTTTCTCTTTCTTTTTCTCTCTCTCTATCTCTCTTTCTCTCTCTCTCTCTCTCTCTCTCTCTCTCTGTCTCTCTTTCTCTCTGTCTCTTATTGTCAGGTAGAAGAATGCTCCGGTACAGATGCAGTAGTGCTAGACGTTGGCCGAACACAGCAGCAGCGTACCATCCCAACTTTGACGAAGCGTAGTAATTTAATTAATTTTGCCACAGACGTAATTCATAGTTTCCATTTTCTTTTTCTTCTTTTAGGTATTCATTAATTAACTTTATTATGATATATGACGTTTAATCGATTTTTAATGAAACGTTTATTCGGGCACGAGTATCGCCAATGTATATAAATTTACGATAATACGTTTCACAATGATTTTCTTTACATTTCTACGGGAGATAAGATGTTTTCTGTTTTTTTTTATTTTTTTTTTCACTTTTTTTGTTCGCTCGTTTGTTTGTTTCTTTGTTCGTTATGTCGTCATCATCGTTGTTGTTGTTGTTGTTTATTTTTTTTTTTCTTTTTTTCTTTTTCTTTTCTTCTTTTTTTTTCTTTCGTACAAGATACTCGTGATCGAAAACGTCGAAACATTTTCTTTTTTTTTACAGGTACAACGAAATAAGTTTCCGCGATAAGAATCTAAAACTATTATATTAAACACGATAAAAATATCTTGGATGTGCACATTGTGCGGCAATCCTAAGACATATGTCCCATCGTCAGAACACAATTCCCCTTTTTAATACTAAAATCCTCGATATTATATTATCTTCTATTCTATAATAATTTCGACCTGATTCCAATTAATTTTCTCCGATTTTATTATCAGTTTTCAATAATTTTTAGTTCAATTCTACGCTTCTCATCATATATTATATTCGAGCAAGGATGCTGACGTTATCGAAAAAAAAAAAAAAAAAAAAAAAAAGAAATAATTAGATATTAGTAGTAGTAATTTATTTTAATTATTTTTTCACTTTTCTCTCTTTCTATCTCTATCTCTATCTCTATCTATCTATTTTTTTTTTGTTAAGTAGATTCACGTAGATCTTTTTTTAATCATTATTATTATTATTATTATTATCATTTATTATTATTTATTATATTCATACGCAATACGAATAAAAAGCGTGTGACAGGAAAAAAAAAGAAAAAGAAAAAACAGTTAGATTGGTCAGCATGCTTGCGTGAAGGTCATCGAAAGACGTATTCTCTTGATTTACATGTTGTCGTTGTTACTGAGCTTCTTGATAATGTGACGTCAGGTACCCGCCATCTCACTAGCCTACGAGGAGGCAGAGAGCGATATTATGAAGCGACAGCCACGAAACCCCTTCACTGACAAGCTAGTTAACGAAAGGTAACACATCAACAAACATAATCGAATCTATCCACAAACTCAACACGAGAGATCAATTGCAATACGAAAGAGTTTTTCTCGTCTCGGTGATAAATTTTTTTTTTCTCTTTTTTTTTTCTTTTTTTTTCCTTTTTTTTTCTCCTGAAATCAAGATCATCGAAATTGCTCGAGAATATCTATCGTGTATCTATTGACAAAGGGGATTAGGTGGATGATAAGGGGGATGAAACAAAAGGGGGAGGACTGGGAAGGAGGGAGAAGAAAAAAGGATAAGAAAATGCAAAAGAGAGAGAAAAGAAAAATAAAGAAAAAATTGTAAGAAAAAAAAAAAAAAAAGAAAAAAGTAAGAAATCTAAATGATCGTTCAATGTGTGATCGATTAAAAATAAATAAATCGAATGATTTGTATGATCGAGCAAGCTTCGATGGATCCGAACAACCGAGACGTGATCACTCTCCTCTCTCTCTCTCTCTCTCTTTATATATATATATATCTATATATATATATATATCTCTCTCTTTCTTTCTCTCTCTACCTATCTATTTATCTGTCTATTTATATATTTATCGATATATTTCTTTATCGTTAAACTTACTGGTTACTCTGGTAGTTAGTTTGTAAATTTTTGGTTCGTGTAATTATTATACATATACACACACCCACGCGCGCATATATAATTATATATATATATACATGTGTGTGTGTGTGTATGTGTATATGTACGTACGTACGTGTGTGTAATTAATATTATATATACATATATCAATTGTGACACTGAGAGAAATGAATAGAGAAAAACAACACAAATTGACACGAAATGAGGGAAAAACGTACACTTTCTCTTTGCTCTATTCGCACGTAATTTTTGTTTCCTTTCTTTTTTTTTCTCTCTCCTTTCTCTCTCACTCTCTCTCTCTCTCTCTTCCTCTTCTACTTCTTCTTCTTCCTATTCTACGATTTATATACAATATTTACGTACGAACGAGTCAAGGGAAAACTGGAGGTTAAAACGAGTACGAGACTAATCGATCCATCTTATCTTTTCATGTTTAACAACATTCTATCTAAAAGATATAAATAACTTTAATATATACACGCGACACGTATATATTATATGTGCGTGCGTGTCTGTCTGTGTGTTTGTGTCTGTATGTCTGTATGTCTGTGTGTAAATATGTACGTACGTATGTATGTATTTATTAACATTACGTATGTAATTCAGATTTTCAATTTGTATATATATATATTTATATATATATTTGATAAGGATCGACAATAATATGACTTGGATCGATTAGACGGTGTTCTCGATTCCTCTATGTCGCCTAAACACGGTAGGATTTAATACTTAACAAGGTAATGGGGTCATGCACGAGGTATAAAAACACGTATCAGGGGGAATTGATTGCTAGGTATCAGGAAGCTTTATTGTCAGAATTTGATCTACTCTTTGTATATTTATCTCTCTCTCTTTCTCTCCCTCTATCTTTCTCTCGCTCTTGGTCTTTCTCTCTTTTTTATCTATTATCTGTTTTTTTTTTATCTCGAACAACATCGTCGTTGTTAAATCGTATATAAAAATATCTTTCCATCACATTCTTAATTGTTTCAAAGTAATTGTTAAACTAATCGCGAGATTGTGAATTATTTGAGAAATATTTCTTTTTGTTTCTTTTTTTTTTGTTTACTTATTTATTTACTTTTTTAATTAACGCGAACAATTTCTCCCTTATTCTATCTCTGTATCATTTTGTATCATTTTTACCTCGAACACGTAATTAATCACTTCGAATTAATTAATCGCGATATTTATAATTATTTGACAAATATATAATATAATATATTTTTTATTTTTTTTTTTTTATTCTTTCGTTACGTACTCCTTTTTTTCTATCGAGGATTCTCTTTTCTTTCTCTCTTTCTCTCTTCGCTTCTATCTCTATCTCTATCTCTATTTTATTCTCACACACTATCTCTCTTTGTCTATTTCTCTTTTTCTCGAATGAAAATGAAATAAGTTGAATAAAAGAGATCCACGAAAAGGCGTGTGTCGCAATATTGTCGCAATATTTCGTTCTAATTTCAAGGTAAGCCGATTCTAATTTCGATCTTCTAAGCTCTCTCTCTCTCCCTCTCTCTCTCTCTATATATATATATATATCTGTCTCTATCTATCTATTCTTCTTCGTCTATCTCTCTCTCTCTCTCTCTCTTTCTCTCTCTCTCTCTCTCTCTCTATCTATCTCACTATCTATCTTTAAATTTATTCTCTAAAAATTTCTGAGCTATTCCTACAATCTTATAAAAGAGTATATATATATATAAAAAGAACAAAAAAAAAAGAACAAAAAGATGGGAACATTCGCTCTCTCGTCGTGATCCATGGTGATTGATGATGATGATAATGATGATGATCCAGCACAGACGGAGCTCCAGGTGTATGGTTCGCATAGCTTTCCTCGATAAAGGATAGCATTTCTTTAAAAGAAAAAAAAAATCGCATGGTCGTTCGATATTATCTCACCTATCAGCATTTTCTTTTTTTTTTTCTTCTTCTTTTTTTTTCTATTTTTATTATTATTACTATTATTATTATTATGATTATTATTATCGCCTACCCTCCCTCTCTCTCTCTCTTTCTCTTTCTCTCACTCTCTCTATTTTCCTCTGTCTATCTATCTCTTTCTCTTTCAGTCAAATGCGCTATATATTTTATAAGATTGTTTGCAAAATGAAATGACCAAATGAAAATTGTTATTCTACGTTTGTAATAATTTTTATTTGAGATTTGATCGACGATAAAAAAAAAATAATAATTAAAAAGAATTCAAATTTTTGTTTCTTTTTTGGGGAGGAGGGAAGAAAGAGGGGATAATTTAAAAAAAGGAAAAAGGATCTAAATCTATCGTAGAATTTTCAATCTTCAATCGGATCATAATGCAATATATTGAATTTCTATTTTTTCTTTCTATTTCTTTATCTCCTTGCCGCCGCCACCCCCGCTCCATTTCCTTGGCTGCCTCTCACGCCACAGATCAAATTTTAAACCTTTCTATGCCTCGCTCGAGAGAACGACATTATATCTTTTTTTCCCTTTTTTTTTCTTTTTTTTTTCTTTTAGACATCATTGTGGTTGTACCCTATTTCCTTAGGTGCTACGAACGGTGACGCGGCTCGGTGGTTTTCATAGGAAATTTTTATCTAGAAAATACTTTTGGTATTCGATCCTTTTATTTTTCTTTTTTTTTTTCCAAAAGAAGAAAAAAAGAAGAAACGAAAAAGAAATAACCCCTAGCTGAATCATTGGTCGCACCTTTTAAAAATAATCGTCAAACTGTTGATTGTGTAAAGGCTTCGCAAAATCTTGTCTCGTAGGATATTCCTAATTTATTATTTAATTTTTCCCTAATACCTATATATATATATATGTATATACATACATATGTATATATGTTCGTGTATGTATATATATATATATATGAACATATGAATATGTATATCGTTCGTTGGGTCTGTAGTAAAATGTGCATCAACTATTTTATGAAATGTTAAAATTTTAAAGTAAAAGGAGAAGAGACATCATTTTTACAGCAAATTGATTTTATATTTAAACAATCGATTCAGAAAAATTTCGTGTTCCCTTTTTTGTTTTTTTTTCTTCTATTAATTTTTATTTATTTATTTATTTTTTAATAAAACTCACTCCAGGCATCGTTTATTTCAAATTGTATTATATGTACACGTCTGTATTTTTTTTTTTTTTTTATGTTTCCGATCATTCAAATATTATTCCAAATTTATCGAATCCTAAATTATTACGGATTGTTTTGCACGTTGATATATTTATATCGTATACTTTTTTTTTCTTTTTCTGTCTTTATTTTTTTTTTTTTATACACGTATAAAAAATATTACATATCGATTTCGCCCTTCGTTCGAAAATCTTTTTCACGGCTATTATCTTTTCTATATCAAGCAATATATATCTTTTTTGTTTTCTTCTTCTTTAAAATATTTTTCTTCTCTTTCTTTTATTTTCCCCTTTTTCTTCAACTTCTACTTCTACTTTTTTTCTTCTTCTTCTTCTTCCTTTGTACGTATATAATGATATATACGAGGTTGAACGGACGAAAAGTTTCTAGACGATATTAGAAATTAATTTGCTCTATTTCGAGACGTATATGTATATATATATATTTTTTTTTTCCTTCTTCTTATTCTTCTTCTTTCTAATATTAATTTTTCCAGATTATCCGATGCGAGTTCGATATATAAAGTCTAGTAAATGTCACGAAAAAGAGTTATTGATATTTCATGAATAATCTAGGAACTTTTAGACGATCCTGTATATATATCCTTCAGATCACGGAACGAGCTATATACGATTTTTCTTACGCATATATATATATATATTTGGTAATATTTTGGTAGTATGAAATTACGTCGATGTAACGGCTGATTTATAATAGAAAAAAAATAACGAAAGGATTAGAAATTTCCAATGGAATAAAGGAACAAGATTTTTTTTTGAATTTGAAGAAAAAGAAAAATATAGAAAGAAATTTGATGAATTGATTCAGTTAAGCTAGTGCCGTTTCATCAATGTTATTTCCGATTAGAGAATTAGTCTAGTTGAATTTTCGATCGACTTTACATGTATATATTTATATGCCATATATTTATTGTGTATATAGAGAGCGATACTTATATATATATTCTTATGATATTCAGTAATTATATTTACCCTTGTGTCATCACAACTGCAAGCCAGCATTTCTTATATAGTTTACAATTTTTTACTATCGTTACTATTTTTATCTATTGTCACAGTTGCTGCAGTTCACAGTTGCTACTACCTCTATATTACTATTACCATCACTTACTATTACCTATTTACTACTACTACTACTACTATTACTACTATTACTACCACTATTACTATTACTATTACTACTACTTACTACTACTGCAACTTACTACCACTTACTATTACTACTGTTTTTTATTGCCACCACATCACTGCAAGGCACCTTTATACATTTGGGCGTCATGACTTCTTGCAGTTTTTTATTCCTTACAGTATATATACATACACATATATATGTATATACATATGTATATATATATATATATATAAATATCTCTATATCTCTCATGTTTTATTCTGTATTGCGCTGCCTTCGCCGCTGCCTTCTACCACCTCTGCAACTGGCAACTTTTCTAATAGGTGCTGAACGGCCGAGAAATCGAAAGAGTTGCTAAGAGCAAGTGAAAAAAAAAAAAAAGAAAAACAAAAGAAAAAACAAAAATAAGAATTTCTTTCTTTCTTTTTTTTTTTAATCGCTCTTCTTTTTTTTCTTCTTGCTTTTTTTTTCGAGAAAGAAAACTCAAATACTAATCATGAAAGCGAGAAACAAAAGGGTTGACGTCAGTTTTTTTTTCCCCCTTTTTTTTTCTTCTTTCTTTTCGTTTACCCATGTCTATGTTATTAGCCATGTATTATTAACAGAGAACGGGGATGAAAAGATTTAAAAAAAAAAGAATAAAAATAGTGAACACCCTTTTTAACACTCTCACGCAGAATAACGTAGAATAACGAAGAAAATGATTTTTACGTCCTCACCAACTTTGACGCGTTCATTGGATTCTTTTTTCTTATTATTCTTATTTTTATTCTTATTCTTTTTCTCTCTTTTTCTCTCTCTCTCTCTCTCTCTCTCTCTTTCTCTTTTGCTTTGATTATACAATTTTGTTTCTTCGTTCGTCGTAAAGTTGCGTGAGGGAGTTATAAGCCGTGTTAAAAAGTACTAACGAAAAATTCTCAAGCTTTTAATTGTTTTTGTATTTGAAAGTGCACGAAAGAGAAGGGAACGTTAATGGTGAATCATTTTTTTTTTTTTTGGGTATGGGATTTTTTTCAAAAGGAATAACGAAAGTAACAAAAGAAAGAAAGAAAGGAAAGAAAAGAAAAAAAAGAAGAGAGGGAAATCGTATCATCGACGTGGAAAAACAATTCGTCCTTCTTCTTTTTATTATTATTTTTTTTTTCCTTTGTTTTTTTTCCCTCCTTTTGTTCTCGTTAAAAACACGACGGAAACAAATTTTGGAGATTAAAATTAATCCTTCGTTTTTCGATGGGGGTTCATCGTTGTTTTTTGTTTTATTTTTTTTTCCTTTCTGTTTTCTTTTTTGTTTTTTGTTTTTATTTATTTATTTATTTTTTCTTTTTTCTATAAACGGAAAGCACGATGCGGAAAGCACGATGCTAAAGGTTCGTTTAACACGTCGTTGAAATAAATATTGAAGAAAGAAATCTCTCTTGGAATATACGGAAATGAAAGATATTAATTCATTTTGACGATATTAATAAATTATAATAATTAATTTAAATCTTATATCTTAGTTCGGTGTGTTAAAGGAACTTTTGCTTCCCTTTTCTATTCATTTCATTTCATTTTCTTTTCTAATATTTTCTATTTCGTCTTTTTTTATTCCTTTTTTTTTTTAACCAGACTGATGGGTTAATTATTAACGATGGAAGGAAAAGCCAAGAAAAAAGAATTAAAAAAAAAAAAAAAGAATAGAAAAGAAAAGGAGTAAAGAAAATGAAACCTAATGAAACGAAATTCGATAAGCTCGGCTTAGCTCGAAGAAAATTTTTTCCGATTTTGTCAAAGCTTCACTTTTTTTTTCTCTCTTTCTTCTTTCCGACATATTCTTTTTATTCCCTGATCTTCGAACTTTTTGATATAACTTTTCCAATATCTGTTTCTATCTCTTTCGCTCGCACTATGTGTATATATATATATATATATACATATATACATATATATATATATATAAACAAATATATATCTTTTTTTACAAATATTTATACACCTTTATATATATATATATATTATATATGTATAATTATCATATCATGATTTATTTAAGACATATTATATATCCACATATAATATATATAATATATATTTATATAAATATAAATAAAGGTATCTAGTTATACGTAAAATGTAACATTACATATCTTCTTTTTTTTTTTTATAACTTTTAAATCACGGATCGTGTTCAGTGGTAAATTTTCTAATGATTGGTGGATGGCAGGTGCCGGCCATCTCGCTAGCCTACGAGGCACCGGAGTCGGACATTATGAAACGGCAGCCGCGTGATCCTTACAGAGACAATCTTGTCAACCGAAGGTGGGTCTCCCAACTACCCACCACAGAACGAAACCTAGAGAAACTCTATGCACTCATCCAAACAAAAGAGAACAAAAAAAAAAACAAAAAAAAATATATACACAAATAGAAAAAAAAATACTGCTGCAACAGATTAACGAAAAAATAGAAAAAAAAAAAATAGAAAAATCATTAGAAAAAAAGAAAGACAATACACACATAGAAAGAAAAAAAAAAAGAGAGAGAAGAAACAAACGCAAAACATCATTCTCTAGCTAACGTCGCTCTCTTTCTCTTTTCCGTCACACATTCGTCATCTCTCTTTTATCAACACAAAAATCATTCGACCTCGTTCGAATCAATTTTTTTCTTCTTTTATCTTTGATATATATATATATATATATTTTTTCTTTTTCTGTCTCTTTAATTATTCCCATTTTTTTTTCCTTTTTTTGCCTTCATCTTCATATCCTCACACAAACGTGGCCAAACGTGATATAATGAATTAGAAATTGAAATTGTTTTTAATACGTATTTACATATATATTAACATACATACATATGTATATATATATATATGTTTCACAGATCTTTTTTCATCGACACGTTTTCTTCCGCAAAATTGAATTAATTAATTACTTAATTAATTATTCTATCAATCAATCAAACGATCAATCGATTAATCAATTAATTGTTTGTCCACAAATCGATGAAAATCGTAAAAATAATATATATTCGAATTGACGTTTGGCCGCCATAAATTTCACGACAATCTATCTTAATAATATATATATATATATCATCGATCGTCATCAATTCTTACACGATGATAGCGAAGAGCGTCTACCGATTGATTTATCCTTTAAAATTGATAAAAATACAATGAGAGAAACAAGAAAAATAAAAGATCATAAAATTATTTTCAGAAAGGGAAAAGATAATTCGTTATAAACATTCTTTTTTTTTCCTCTTTTCTTTTTCTTCTTTTTTTTGATCCATAACACTTTCAATTTGATTTAATTCGTTACAAGACTTATCTTGTGAATTTTGATGATGAATTTCGGTAGATACTCTGCACAATCACAACTATCAATCATTTTCTTTCTCTTTTTTTTTCCACCCCCACTTTCTATCAGTTTATCTATTTTTTTCTCTCTCGCTCTCTCTTTCTCTCACTCTCTATCACTCTTTATCTCTCTCTCTCTCTCTCTCTCTCTCTCTCTCTCACTCTATGTCTGTCTGTCTGTCTCTACATCTCTAGAAATTTAGTTGTTAGATTAGCACCGCAAATTCTTGTTTTCTCTGATTCTCTCTTTCTCTTTTTCATAGAATTGGCATGATATTTGGAATGCCGAATGCTTTTTATTTAGAAACAATTTAGAATTTTAGAAGCATCGCTGATGACACGGCATACATTTAATGCGGAAATATTATTCTCGATTTTTTTCTCTTTTTTTGAATATTTTTTAATTCCTTTTTTTTTTTTAATTTCTTTCTTTCTTTCTTTCTCCGCATAAAAAGCTTTTGCGAAGCATCAAAATATAAATTTCTTTTTTCGTTCAACACTTCTTTATACGGCACCAATGTAACTTCTGCACGATATCTGCGCCCGAAGCAAGCAATTTTTTTTCTTTTTTTTAACAATTTTGTTAGAAGAAAAAAGAATATATATATATATATATATATATATATATATATATATATATATATATATATTCAAAATAAATGATAGCGAGCCGCTTTTGAAGAAAATAGAAAAATTATAATGCACGGCCTCTCGGAACGATAGGATATAGGGAAAAAAAAAAGAAGAAAATAAACATAATCGACGGATAATTTGTCCATTGTGAAATTTTTTTCATCATCCTGTATTTCTATTTCTTTATTCTATTTTATTTTATATCTTCGATCAAACAATTTATATTCGAACGTTTCGTTCGTTCTATCTTTATCAAAGAAATCTTTTTAATCTTCTATTATATATAATAATTATTTCACGCACTTTATTTATTTCGCAATTGATGAAAACAATCCCTATCGTATCTTCCACGAATCTCGAAACTCGAATGATGATGATGATGATGGTGATGATAAATTGTGAAAATTTATTTTATTATTTTAAATTGGGGAAAAAGAAAAAAATTAAATTGAACAAATAATTAAATAAATAATTAAATAAATAAATAAGGGAATAATAAATCAGAAGAATAAAATATGAAATTATCTGCATGAAATTATCTTTCGCTTTGATCTTATGCAAATTGCAACAAAATATTCAACAAATCGTCGCGATTTCGCATAAGCTCGCTCGAGCTTTTTGCATGAGCATGTCTTCTTTCTGTGTACGTATATGTGTCTGTTACTATTTCACCTATTACTATTACTACTATTACTATTACTATTACTATTACTATTATGTATATGCTTGAACATGAGTGTGTATGTGTAGCATGCTTCGCAATGATAATTACGAATGACAATGATGATGATGATGATCATGATGTTGATAATGATGATGATGATGATGATGATGATGATGATGATGATGATGATAATGACGATTTATCGGTGAGAAGAAACGCCGATTATTTACCGTCTCTACCATCATAATAATCGGTAAGTGAGCTGCAATTTCGTCTATCGACGGACATTTACGGCTTTTTTTCCACGTAATACTAACAACACCATAGATAGACACTACCTAGAGCTAGAGAGTAAATAAAACTTTAGGCGTTCTCTTAGTGGCATATTTATTACGTATTACACACGAACGGCTTCGAAGAACCATCGAAGAATCCTCTATTCAGTTCGATTAAAAAAGAAAAAAAAAAGAAGAAATCCGATTCATTTTTTTGCTTTTTCTTTTTTTTTCTAAATCATTCCAAAATCTTCGACTCTTCGTTAACAATAAAAACCATCTTTGAATGATCCATCGAAAGTTGGATCCTTCGATGTTCATCGTTTAAAAAAGGCAAAACCCTTCAAATTGTTCTACTGTCCCGACATATATATACATATATATACATATATATATATATATTTAGATAGAATAATAAGAAATCATTTCTAATATATCGATTTTTTTTTCTAAAAATTTAGGCTTATCTCGATGGCGTACGGACAGATCGGTATGATCCAAGCTGCTGCTGGTTTCTTCGTTTACTTCGTCATCATGGCTGAAAATGGTTTTCTACCGCTTCATCTCTTTGGCATTAGAAAGCAATGGGACTCTAAGGCGATCAATGATCTCAGAGATAGCTACGGCCAGGAATGGGTAAATCAATGGATCACCAATTCCTTTTTTTTTCTCTTTCTTTCTTTCTTTCTTTTTTTTTTTTTCTTTCTTTTACGATCATTCTACATTAAAAAAATATATATATATTTTCTTTTTGGTACTCGCAAACAGACTTATAGGGACAGGAAGACATTGGAATTCACCTGTCACACGGCATTCTTCGTTTCGATCGTAATCGTACAATGGGCCGATCTGATAGTCTGTAAGACGCGTCGTAATTCGATAATCCATCAGGGAATGAGAAACTGGGCGCTCAACTTTGGTCTCATCTTTGAGACAGCACTAGCTGCGTTCCTAAGCTATACACCTGGTATGGACAAGGGTCTTCGCATGTTCCCGCTTAAGTAAGTTTTCTTTATTTAAATCTATTCAATAATTTATCTTTATCCTTAATATCCTCTAATTTTACTTTATATAATACTTGAAATGATATTCGAAATTGTTTGCACATGTTGTAAATTAGAAAAAGAAAAGTAATAAAAAGAAAAAACAATAACGTTTTATCGTAGAGATGGTATCAATGAAGAGAGTCGAAAGATTTTATATATATACAAATACATACAAATATATATATATATATATATATACACTTGTACTAATCCATAATATTTAAAATTTTTATTAGATTCGTCTGGTGGCTACCAGCCCTGCCATTCATGTTCGCCATCTTCATCTACGATGAGACGAGACGATTTTATCTCCGCCGAAATCCTGGTGGCTGGCTAGAACA